AGTGCCCTATTTTTTATCACTACTGCATTCCTGTTACCCTTAGTCGTTACGTATATTTTACATATATTTTAAGTTATTTTTTTGCCCACTTTTCTTTCTTTTTATTTACTTTACATTGGTTCTAAAAAGTTCCCCTATGCATTCCGTAGCATTATTGTCTGTTAGATCTCATTATATTGTGTCAAAACACGAAAAAATGAGCCGTCCCTATATATATACATATATATATAAGGAGGGCACATTGGTCCGTGTTTTTGACACAATATTAATGAGATGTAACAGACAATAATGCCAAGGAATGTATAGGGGAAGTTATTAGAACAAATGGAATGTAAAACAAGTAGAAAGAAAAGAGGGTGAAAAAATAACCACGGTTGGTTATTTTTTCACTCTCTTTTCTTTTTTATTTTACATTCCATTTGTTCTAATAACTTCCCCTATACATTCCTTGGCATTATTGTCAGTTAGATCTCATATATATATATATATATATATATATATATATATATATATATATATATATATATATATATATATATATATATATATATATATATATATATATATATATATATATATATATATATATATATATATATATATATATAGATGAAATAGATGATCAGAGTTTCTTCCGGCTACCGTTTTCGGCGGCTCTCCCTCGCTCCTTTCTAGTTCCTCTCCTTCTTCTGCTTCTTGTTGTCTGTTGCTACCTCGTTCGCCCGTTTGTCTCTTTTTTTTTTTGGAGGGTCTTTAAACTGTGAGGGTGACCCTCTGCTACGGGAACTTGTATCATTTCACTTACATCCTCCGAAAAAGGCTGGTCCACCAGCCGAAACTGTTAGGATTAAATAAATATTTTATTGTTTTGTTTCCTATACTGCACTATTTTCGAAGTTTATAACATCAAGTGATGGTGAGTAGAGGTCGAGAAGGAAGAAGTGCAGAACGGAATAAACATGGTGTATGAGCCAGGCCACGTCACCCTTTCATCGTAGTGTCAGACAAGTCGACAGGATGGAGACCTGCCTGCCCCTTCATCAGTCACTCATTATCGACGCAGTTCCCCAGAAGACGCCCTGACTGTACATTGACTACCAAATCATCGCCTAGGAGGGCAACGACCAGCACCATGACAGAACCATCGGCTGACCTCGACATCCCCAAGTACACCGGATCAGCGGACGACGTACCCGTGCAGGACTGGTTCAACCCGTTCGAACTCCACGCTACCGCTGCATCTTGGTCGGAACGGGACATGATCATCAACTTCACTGACTACATCTCCGTTGAGGCATTTAAGTTTTACCTCACCCACATCTTTGAAAATGACGAGTCTTGGCAAAAGATAAAAGAAGAAATGATCACTCGTTTTAGCAACAATGACTAAGACCTACTTATTGCCAACCATCTCAAGAAAACCCGACACTATCGTCAATTCCCTAAGCAATCATCGAGCATTCGAAAGGCCAACGTGAATCGACAACTGCCACAAGACAAAGTCGCACATGAGTTTACTTACAGAAGACCATGCGTATTCTGGGAAAAACCCAACCATCAAGCGCGCCTCCCCTCTGCAGGAAAGTCGGAATTTGCAAAATCCCCGCTCCAGCTTATGACACGAGGCGTTGCTCACCCACCTGATTGCCTTCATTCTTCGTCTCGCATACGTGATCCACCAGGCGGTTTTTCATCACGCGGTTTTTCAAGCGCTCCTATCGCTCACCATTTGCCTCATAAGGACGCCGCGATCACGGTAGATGACCTGACGCTTCACAAAAATACCCGGTCAAGTCATGCTCTTTCAGGACGGGTTCATTCATTACCATCCGGTGCATACACGCTCGACAGTCGAAGCAACATTGAAGGGTTAGGCACATCGAACGTTAGACGCTGCCATGCGCAAGAGCCTCTCATAGTGAACAGTGCAGAAAAAGCTTCTGAAGAACTTTCTATCAACTCTGAAGCATCATCTTCATTGCCTGAATTGCATGACAACTGCTCAAAGACTACCAGCTGCCGACTGGAGACCCCATCAGGTTGTCATGAAAACCAGCGCGATGTTGAAGAAGGGCTTCCACCGCGATATGGTCCACAGCAACGTCAGCAAAAGCAAGTCCGTGAATCGCAGACACTCCAACGTACACACCAACAAGGACGACGACGCAAAGCAAACCTCTTAAAACAAATTCAAGAAGCGAGGCAACTTCGCATAAAGGATCGGCGCCAGAAACGCATTTGGCACAAAATATCAAGACTGCGCCTAAGATTACAGCTCCGAAACCTCAGGAAACACCGAACAAGACAAGAAGTCACCAGTTCTACCACGCAAAGATTCAGACACCATCCCATTAGTTCACGCCAACGGAGCCAACGCCACAGAAAACTACAAAAGAGACTGAACGCTATAATTTGTACAATGCACGAACATAGACATAATTCCTTGAACTTCAGTTCTTGTACACGCAAGCTGCAAGCACTAATTCTGTCTCAGCCGCGACACAGAATACAGTGCGTACGACAGAGGATTCTGCGCCTACGACATTCGACCTTAAAATGCTCCAAGGACTTCCAACCTTGTTCGTTCCTCGCAGGTGCTCAAGTCACGTCATGGTCAGTGCAGTTTTGCAAGACGTGGTTACCTTCTCCAGAACGCCACAGCCAACCTCGCCCACCAGAACTCCCCCATTTACCGGGCTGCTGCACTCATTTCTGAAGTTTTGCGAGTTTACGGAACACCACGGAGCCATGAAACCAATTGTGCATTTTTGACATTTGTGACTTCTCAACCTCTCCTTGTTTACTTTTTGTTGTGCGTAATCCATGCCTTCTTTCGGGGGGAGGGGGAATCGAATCGTGTGATGTATCAAGTGATGGTTAGTAGAGGTCGAGAAGGAAGAAGTGCAGAATGAAATAAACATGGCGTATGAGCCAGGCCACGTCGCCCTTTCATCGTAGTGTCACATATTATATATATATATATATATATATATATATATATATATATATATATATATATATATATATATATATATATATATATACAGACATACACACACACACACACACGGTGAGTGACGACGATGCCCACGCCAACGCTGATGGCAAAATACAGTCGAGCTTGTCCATATATTTGCTATTGCAATAATACAGTGAAACAGCCACACCAAAATGCCGTGCCGAGTTGGTATCCAGAGCAGTTGCACAGGCAGTTTCATCGAGAAGAACTTGCAGCCTTAATTGTGAATCCTACCTAACTGGACACTCAGCGTATAGCGTAACAAAATAAATTTTAAAAAGAGAAAATAACCCAGGAAAGGGCAGATTGTGCTATACTAGCCCAACACTGTTCAGCACCAAATTGGCTTATTAAACGCAACTAGGAGGCATATGCAGACTGTAATATTACCTATTGATACATGCCAAGCATTTTTATGGGACAGTTAGAATTGGAGCTATTCAAATCATATCCATTAAAGCCTTTCACCTATCTCTGCTATATAAATGACAATTTATTATATGGGAACATGGCATAAGCACACCAAATGTATTCGTTGATAAGTGAAACAAGTTTCACTCTAGTTACAAATTTACCATGAATTATTCTACTAATGAAATTAACTTCCTAGACACAACATTATCTACTGAAGCAGAAATATTAAGGACAACGCTTTACAAAAACCCAACAGAGAGACAACAATTACTAGATTACACTAGTCACCAATTGCGACACTACAAAAAAAGAATTTTGTTGGACAGGCGAGGTGCACAAGAAGGATACGTACCGACGACGGCGAATAGTTTTACCCCTTAAGCAACCTAAAGAAAACATCAGTTGGAATAAAGCATCCGCAAGCTGCCCTAAGCAAGGTCTAAAATGAAGCATGTAAACTAGATAAAAAATTAACACTAGTTAAAAGAGCTCCCCCTCCCCATAGCACAACCCAACCAGTAGTCAGCATTTATAACCAAATACTCAAATGCACTCTCAAATTAAACATTATCTTTCGTGAATATTATTCAATACTGGTAAGCAATAAGCACCGGAGAAAAGCATTTCCCGAGATACCAGAAGTTGTGCATGGCTGCAATAGATTGATTGATTGATATGTGGAGTTTAACGTCCCAAAACCACCATTTGATTATGAGAGAGGCCGTAGTGGAGGGCTCCGGAAATTTCAACCACCTGGGGTTCTTTAACGTGCACCCAAATCTGAACACACGGGCCTACAACATTTCCGCCTCCATCGGAAATGCAGCCGCTGCAGCCGGGATTTGAACCCGTGACCTGCGGGTTAGCAGCCGAGTACCTTAGCCACTAGACCACCGCGGCGGGGTATGGCTGCAATAGAAATTTCAAGGATACACTAGTGCACACAAAAGTAAACCTGCAATCTACTGCCCACATACAGTAGATTCCCATTAAACGAAATAGCTGCTTAAGTGGAACAACAGCCTTCAATATGATTGGTTTCATACTTGAATCCTGTACACGTGTTTAACTCTCAATAAATAGAACACTTCTTAACAAAACCCCTTCTCCTGGTCCCTTCAGGCTTCGTTTAATAGGAGTATACTGTAACAACTTGCTTTCCTCCAAAATGCAAGACACCTTCAAGATGACGTGATAATGAGAAGAATCGCAAGTGATTACGTCCAAGATATGAAATCTAATGTTACCTGCACTAGTTCGAACATTATCTACAGGATAGAATGCTCATACTGTCACAAACGGTAGATTAACAAATTGGGACAGCCTGTCAATATTAGATTGAATGGTCATTGTGCAGAGACAGCAATGAAATTACCAAAAGCAGTAACACAACATTTTAATGTAGTAGGACGGAACTTTGACCATCTCAAACTTTATATACTTAATTCAAACTTCCGGTCCTAGAAGTTGGGCACTTTCTTGATAATTCATGATATTTATCGAGGCAGTCATGACAATTTTGTCGAGCAAGGCAGACACTTTCAACAAGAATGCAAGGTACACTAACCAGGGGGGCCCCGGGATGGCTTGGAGGCGGGTTTGCCACCGCCACTGTTTCTTCCAATGCTCACACGTCCTTGCTGCACCTGAAAAGTGTGTACTTAGTTCAAACTGCAGCAGAGTAAACCTAAATACGCTTATAGTATCAAAGCTTATAGTAACCAGGAGCACTTCAAAAGATAGAATAACCTTCCAGAGCGTCAGTTAAAGAGCCCTTAAACCACCCGGAAATAGAAATTTAGTTAATGGTGGGGAAGTTGTGCGCGAGTGTACAAGGAACACAGAGCCGTGAGAATTTTTTGAAATGGTGTCATTATAGTGGAGTTAGAGTTTCATTATCAAAACGTGGCAGGTCTTTGTTTTCGCTTTTTCCTTCGCTACCCTACGCTGGTATGCCCCTCAAAGCTGCTTTGCCCTTCTCGCTTAACCCTCCGGGTGTTTTTCTGCCCATGACGCCAGGTTTTTTTTTTTTTTGCCTTCTTGACTTATCCCCCCTCCACACACACACTTTTTTACATTGTATTTCTTCACTTTCCTCTCATATCTCTCCTATTTTACTTTAATTACTATATTTTCTTCATTCTCACTGTCTCCTTAGTCCCTATTCCCCTACGAGTGTATTGATTGAGGTGTCCTAAAATGACAGACAGTTCTCGTGTACTCCACACCTCATTTTCTTATCTTTCCTTCTTTTCCTAAAGAATCACCCAACCCCCCTACCATTTTCACGTGAGGTGTGAGGCGCATGTGCACTCTGTGCTTGCCTACAAGAACGTGTGCTGCAGAGAGGTGCTGCACCTGGGCAACATGACAAACAAGGAGCACAGACAGCTGCTTGCAGACTACCCAGCTGCTCGACCAATCGCAGCATGAATGCATGCGTGTGTGTGTGTCTGCACACTGTGTGTCCCGCAAAGTGAACAGCGTTGCTAGGAGAGTGCAACGCAGCGGGTGCATGCAGACAGATGTGGCAGAGAGATAAACAGGAGAAAGGATAACGATGCGGAGGCAGCAATGTGCCACCTCCTCTACCCCACCTCTTCCCGCCACTGACCTCCATTCAGTGCTTGGCGCGCGAGGAAAGAGGGATTTGGCACGTGCGTAGCGGGGGAGCGCATCAGCTTCTGAAACTACTACGCCATTCGACAGACCTCGAAGCACTTCGTACATATTGTATCTCCAACGATCTGTGCTTCATTATTGCAGCCTTTCTCTCTCCCTTTGCTGCCAATGTTTTTTTTTTTTTTGTACCTCCATATATCTCTCTCATTTACCAATACTCCAAGGTACTTGTACTCGCTTGCCCTCGGTATTTCTTGACTATGTATTGAGATCGCCTGGTCTTCGTGATCATTGAATATTGTGAGCATTATTCATGCGCGTCATCTTATCATATTTACATACTCATCATCATCAGTCTGACCTGCGTTGTGGGGCAGAGGCAGAGGCATGGCAAATAAAAGAGGTGTCTTCCAGCCAAAACGTTGCCTTACAAGTGGTGGAGAGTGCTTTACGGCCCCCTGGTCCTCTCCCTGCAGCGATTTTTTGTTATCTTTGACTACAAACCATCCCTGGAGCTCCGGTCGGGTCGCCGTCTGCGCAGTCAGCCTGCGGTCATGCCGCAAGACGAGCACAACAACACGGCTCCATCCACCCTGCCTACACCCCTGGGCATGCCTTCATGGACTATCACCGCCCCTCAAAAGGATCCCCCGATGGTCGCTGGCCTTCGCGGTGAAGACGTTGAAGACTGGTTGGATGAGTACGACCGTGCGAGTGCGCTTAACTATTGGCATGATTCTGTAAAGCTGTCCCGCATACCGTTCTATCTGACGGGGGTCGCTAAGACATGGTTTCTCAACCATCAACTGGATTTCCCGGATTGGCGTACCTTTAAGGAGCAGCTCCGTCAGATATTTGCCAACCCTTCTGTCCGTGCAGACATAGCCAAACGGAAGCTTGCTGAATGTGTCCAGCACTCCGGCGAGTCTTATACCTCCTAAATCGAAAATGTCCTCGCCCTATGCCGTCGCGTCGGCAGCTCGATGGCGGAACATGACCGCGTTCGCCACCTGCTCAAGGGCATAGGCGCCCTCGCATCTAACGCTTTGGCGGCAAAGAACCCCACCACGGTCGCGAATATCATCAGTACATGTCAGCGACTCGACGGCCTTCAACTTATACGTTTACAACCTGACACAGGAGATCTCAGGCCTAACGCATGACAATGAGCTCCGGGCATTGATACGGTCCATGATCTGCGAGGAGCTGCAACTCCAGGCCACCTCGTCATCTTATGAGCTCCGCATGACGCCTTCTGTAGGCAGCCTCATTGTGAGGGAGGAACTAGCATCCATGATGTGTGAGCAAGTCCCGAGCTCGCATACCACTCCAAAGCCGACGTACGCTCAGGAAGGTTGCAGCGTCACCTTCTCAGCAATCACCGCAATATGGGTCAACTATGCAGCCTTCACTGAATGCCCTCGCCACAAGAGCAACGCCTCCTTCTTTTCAAGCCTGGTGTCCATCTCGACCAATATGCTATTATTCCGGAGTACGCAGCCACATCACACGGCTCTGTCGTCGACGTCAACAAGACGAAAGGCGTGGCTATGGTGACTTCGAGAGGAATGAGTTTGCCCCTGCTACACAACATCGCCACCCATACCAACTGTACCAACGCCGCTCACCCTATCCACGGCGCCTCAATGCAGCCAGTACCTTCCGCTCCTCGTGCCGTCGCTCCCCGTCACCTATGCGCCGTTCCTCGTCACCACTTCGTCCGGCTACCACGGCGTCTGATCATCGCCCGGAAGACTAAGCAGTGCAGCTTCAGGAGGGAAAGCTGCATTTTGCAGACTGCATCAAACGCCTCCGGAAGGCCCTTAAATGTACTTTCAATGTGTGTTGAGGGTATATGGACTGAACCCTTGGTGGAAACAGGTGCATCGCTCTCAGTTATTAGTGTAGGACTTGTGTTCCCGTTTGCGCAAAGTGAAGACACCGTATGATGGCCCTCCCCTTCGCTGTGCTAATGCGGTTTTCGTTCAGCCTTCTGGTGTTTGCACAGCACGAGTTTTTACTGAGGGCATCCTTCACCATATACAGTTCCTCGTTCTGTCATCGTGTACTAATGCGCTCATTTTAGGGTGGGACTTTCTATCCTCAGCTTCAGCCATGATATCTTGCTGTCAGAGGGTCATACGCATGTCAGATACTGCGCTTTCGTCCGATAAAGATGCTCATAGCCAGCGCTTCGTCACCGCTGATGACTGTTTTATTCCTCCAAGCAATCAGCATATTCTGACTCTGACATCAAATAAGATCAGTACTGGTGATGTGTTCCTAGCACCGTGTGGACGCTACATCTCTGGTGGGCTTACCATCGCTCCTAGCCTGGTGTGCTTTCATGATGGCAGAGCATTACTTACAGCAGTTAACCCTATTTCTTTGCCTGTTGCACTGCCACAGGACACCAGTGTGGTTTGCTTCACAGATACCGAACCACTTTCTTTAGTGCCCCTTCACGCAGACGTGCCATCTTTCTCTACAAGTACTGATCATGATGCTACAACGGCTGCTTTAACAGCCCCAATAAATCCCGATCTCATGTCAGCGCAAAAGCAAGAACTTTTGGGCATCCTTCAAAAACACAGTGCTTCATTTGATGTCAATTCCAAGCTTTTGGGTCGCACTTCCGTCGCCGTACATCGAATTGAAACGGAAGGCAATACAATTGTATGCCGCCGCCCATATCGAGTGTCATCCACAGAGTGGAAAATAGTCGAGAACAACGTTGCTGATATGCTCAAACGAGATCTTATCCAGCCTTTGTCCAGCTCGTGGTCATCACCTGTAGTGCTAGTGCGAAAAAAGGATGGTTCGGTGCGATTCTGCATCAATTATCGAGCACTTAATAAGATCACACACAGGGACGTGTATCCGATCCCACGAGTTGACGACGCACTTGACTCTCTGCAAGGTGCTGAATTTTTCTCCAGCCTCGATTTACGGTCTGGTTATTGGCAAGTACCTATGCATGAAGCGGACAAAGAAAAAACCACCCTTGCAACACCAGACGGGCTGTACGAATTCAACGTCATGCCATTCGGTTTATGTAACGCTCCTGCCACGTTTGAACGCATGATGGACACAGTTATACGCGGCCTAATATGGAAAACATGTCTCTGTTATCTAGATGACATCGTCATTTTCTCCTCTTCTTTTCGTCAGTATCTTGATTGTTTGAACGAAGTTTTGAAGTGTATTTCTAGTGATGGACTTCAGCTAAACACAAAAAATGTCATTTTGCCAACAAGAACATCAAGGTGTTGGGCCACCTTGTCAGCAAAGATGGCGTTAGTCCTGATCCTGACAATCTTGCTGCCGTGATATGCTTCCCTCGACCAGAAAATCAGAAACACTTACAAAGTTTCCTAGGCCTGGCATCCTACTTCCGCCGCTTCATCAGTCATTTTGCTGCCATCGTGTCGCCACTGCACAAGCTGCTGACATCCGGATCAACTTTCGCTTGGAACGACGACTGCAAGCGTGCCTTTCAAGCCCCCAAGAATGCTTCAAACGTCCGACCCTGTTCTGTGCCATTTCGACGAGAACGCACCTACATGTCTGCACACCGACGCGGGCGGCCATGGCATTGGTGCAGTTCTTCTACAGCGGGATGCCACTTCACGGGAAAGAGTTATAGCGTATGCTAGTCGTGCTCTTACGGCTGCTGAACACAACTACTCCATAACTGAGCAGGAGTGCCTCGCTGTCGTTTGGGCCATACAAAAATTTCGACCGTATCTTTATGGACGCCACTTCACAGTTATTACAGACCATCACGCCTTGTGCTGGCTATCGTCACCGAAAAACTTGTCTGGTCGCCTCGGTCGTTGGGTGCTCCGCCTACAAGAGTGCGATTTTGACGTCATCTATAAGTCTGGCAAAAGACACCAAGATGCAGATGCTCTCTCTCGCTGCCCCCCTTCCACTGTCACCATCGAGTACGTCAGGTGATTGCTCGTCTGGTGGGCAAAACACTGCGCCACCCCTCACATTATCACAACTTGTGGTTATCGAC